TGTCTTCTGTCTTGCTTCGTCGGGCCCTTGTAGGTGATTTTCTTGTTGCTCTGTCTTCCTTTAAGACATCGAGTACTTTTGTTATGGTCATTGGGTTTACTTTTATATGTTTCTACATGATCATTTTGGTGTTTTACTTATTTAACCTTTTGTAACCATAACAACTGTTAGAATTTCACTTGGCGGGGATTCATTTTATTTACACTGTCTTGTTTATAGGAACATGGTGGGGCTAAGAGCGAGGTTTGGTGCACCATTAACCGGTTTAAACTCCCCAGCAGTATTTATGCTGCTGACCGTTCCAAGGCGGCGCCCCTCTATGTTCCTCAGATGTATGTCTATGTTATTTTATACTGTTATGGTGTCTCTTGTTATTTCTCGTCTCTACGGTAAGTATCTTTCCCTTTGCCCCTAGTTTTTATTTATTTTATTTATTCCCCCCTTTCCCCGGGTCTCATGTCCCCTTCCCCTGTGCCTTTTTTGACTTTATGGGCCTAATATTCAATCATTTATTTGTTTTCTTTTAGTTCCTTATCAGTTACTAATTATTTATTCTTATGTAGTGGTTTGCCTGCCCGTGCTCTGCCTTCTGCCCTGTCCTATTTTTGTTTGGGGTCCTCCTGGGCTCCTTGCCACTGACGCTTGTTACTGGGTCGGGTGGGGGCTGCGTTCATTGAACGCCGCCTTTCCTTGTCGATCTTGTTTATCATATTTCATAACCTCAGATCCCCTTTCAAAATTCCATTTATTTCGTTCAGCCCATTGTTTTCTCGTTTAGGGCACATGCATTTTTTTTAATTAGGAACCATACGCCGCTTCTCATGAAATGGTACTAACGTATCACAATGAAGCTTCCATGGTAAACTGCCGTAAAGGACACCAATCTCGGATTTTTCTTAAAAATTCAAAATTTTCACCGATTTTCAAAGTTTAAAATGGGTGAAACTCCCTCCTTATGCCGGTCAGGGGCCGTGGACGGTAACATGCACTTTCCAGGCGCCCATGGAACAGGGGCTCAATTTCAAACCGACCAATGCCAGCATTAAACAAATTTGGGTCGTTTTAGGCGTTTTTTTAAGGGAATCCAGTTTTTTCTCTTTTTTAAAAATCAAATACACTGTCCCTGAGCATAAAATAGCTTAGTTTTGCGAATCACCTTTGGTACCATAGTGCACAAAGAAACATAAATCAATGCTCCCTTGTCCGACCGAGATTTTCTAAGTTTATACATCACACTGGCCATAGCTTTTCGCAGAAGCGATGGTCTACCGGTGCGGCGATGGAGAATTCGTCGCAGAAGCGGTGGAAAAAACATGGCTGTCGGATAGTTTTTGCTGTGTCGGTAAGTTTATGACTTATTTTTACGTTATGTTTTTTATGTTAAACTGATAACACATAGTGGAGACTGGAGCCCACATATGTACTCTTCCAAACTTATTACACGCATGGGGTGCCAAATCATGACCAGTTATGCAAACACTTCTGTACAGTTTGACGAGGGGACGCCACTTTTGCCTAATTTTGTTTAAACACTACAAATGTACTCAAAAACTACCCATAGATACACTGGCATCGCATCGTATGTATGATAATTACACAAACAGAACCATATTCTGGAACTTTTGGAAATTGATATTACCATTTTCATAAAAGAAATTGAACAAAAAAATGATTACAAACGCAGACGGCGGTGGATTCGATTGCAACGCAGTGCGATGGGCCCGATATCATTTATGTCCTTTTTTTTTAACGTTAAAGTCACCGACACTTAGGAGTTGAGCCTCCAAACACCTAAAAATACAAATGAATATATATATTTGTTAATTCTAACACATAAAGTTGTTATATATATATCAATGAAAGTAAATATACCTTTTTTTGCATATGTACCTTATAAATATTTTTTATAACACAATCCCTGTTTTGATACTAGTTTAACATATTAAGGTTATGTTAACTACATGTATGGGTTGTTTAAAATTAATTATAATGTATACATTAATTATAAAATTATCTTGTATTCTATTTTTCTATTTTCAATCTAATGCATCATGTACTTATCAAATATGTTTTATAAAAACAATCCCTGTTTTAGATCTAGTTTTAACATATTGGGTGAATGTTAACTACATGTATGGTTTGTTTAAAATCAAATTATAAATGTATACATTAATTATAAAATTATCTTGTATTCTATTTTCTATTTTCAATCTATGCATATGTACCTTATTAAATGTTTTTATAAAACAATCCTGTTTTTAGATTCTAGTTTAACATTTCGGTGTGTATGTAAACTATGCAGTGCTTAAATGGTAATTTAACTTATAAATTGAATTAAAAATACTTAAAGTTGTATTTTCTTTACAAAACTATGCAATTCATTTAACTAATAAAATGTCTTGATAAATTAAATCCCAATTTTGGACACTAGTTCAACATTTGAAGTATATGTTAACTTGTATCGCTTAAATGATAATTATAGCTTAAACTCGTATATTGAATTTAATTTATCAAATTTAACAAATCAAAATGTTTTTGTAGTTTAACACACAAGAGTCATCATTAACTATGTATTTACACATTGATCATAACTTTATTTTGAACTTTTATTTTTACTTATGAACAGTTTGTGATAAAATTCTAATACATTGATCAGATGAGATAAGATGAGATAAGATAAGATCTGTTGATAGTGACACTAATTTTTAGCTTTATTGCTTTATCTATTTTTTTATTTTATTTATTTTTCATTTTTAATATAGCTTTATATGTTAACATTAAATTATATCACATTTTTATTTAACGTGTAAAAAGCTGTAAATAGGCTGCATGTAATATAAAAAAATTAAAGAATGCATTTTTGAAATAAAATATTACAAAATACCTGACAAAAAAGGTAGACGAAAATGTTGTTTATTGGCCTTTGAGCGAATTGCACATGCACGCGTTCAAATTATCGTATATTTTTGTTTGTAAATTGTAATTGTAATCTTTAAGTCACAATTAAAATGGCCGCTCTTTCGTTTTCGTTGCTTTTCACGGTCTGACGTTCTCCTTTGGTTGGACAGTTTGGTGGTTTTTGTTGTCCAACTTTGTGTCATCTATTATAACGTTTGCTACAATTGTTTTCTCTATATGAAAGCGTATTTGAAGTTTCTGGTTAATCTTTTTGATTATATCATAATCTATTCTTAGACAATAAAGACGTCTGGCTCTGCCAGACATTATCAATCAAATTTCTATGTTTATATTTTTAACTCTACTGAGATGACACAAATTAACAAGGAGGAACATGTACCGTGGTAAAAGTAAAACATAAATATATTTCCAAACTTTTCATGAAAATAAACATGAATATTGAGGCGTGCTGCTTTAAAATCCAAATGATTGTACATTTATTTATTCCAGCACATATGCTTATCATATATTTCAATAAAACTTACATATATGCTGTTTTGAAAAAAAGTAAATATTTATACGTCAAAAATATACACAAGATAAAAAAATGTGTTAAAAAATTCGCACATCCTTCAAATCACCTTGCAGACAGACAGACAGACAGACAGACAGATACCTTTATTGATCATCAGGTTACATGTGTTACATATAACAACATGATGTGAAAATACAAACATACATATTTTACAAAACTGGTGGAAAACAGGGTATTTGATAAACATGTGGATTGAGTCAACATTATTATAAGTTAAATAATCTCATAATTATATAGTTATTACAATTGTTTTCACTGTCGGAGCCCGATCCGCTAAACGTAACGTAATTGGGTTGATTAGATAACAACCCATCTTTTGATGCTGGGTTGTGATGTTTGATGTTGATTCTATTTCCAATATTTTCACATTATCCTTTTGTCAACAGGCGACACGAGTCATCTATTAAATATATATTACTGGTACTTATTATATATTTTCATCATATTTTTCTTTTTCAACAATATCAAACTTCACCTTCAATATACAAACAAACTATGTGAAAAAATTTAAACTATTGCCGTTTTATTTATTTATAAAATATTTCAACAAATTCAAGCGTGGCACTCAGCTCTGTCGTATTTAAATGCGGTGCGCTATGAATGTGAGAACCCGCATTATCCCAAATGACTCCGATTATAGCAAGGCTGGTTCAAAGCGCATCTATATACAGCATATCTGAGAGTCGTTTTGTTTTCAAAAAAGCGTATATTTACTACCATTGATATATATAACAACTATATGTGTTAGGATTAACAAATATATATTTCATTTGTATTTTTAGGCGTTTGGAGCTAAACTCCTTTAACGTTAAAAAAGACATAAATGATATCGGACCCACCGCACTGCGTTGGAATCGAATCCACCGCCGCCTGCGTTGTAATCATTTTTTGTCAATTCTTTTATGAAAATGGTAATATCAATTTCCAAAAGTTCCAAAATATGGTTCTGTTGTGTAATTATCATACATACGATGCGATGCCAGTGTATCTAGGGGTAGTTTCGAGTACATTTGTAGTGTTATAAACAATATTAGGCAAAAGTGGCGTCCCCTCGTCAAACTGTACAGAAGTGTTTGCATAACTGGTCATGATTTGCACCCCATGCGTGTAATAAGTTGGAAGAGTACATATGTGGGCTCCAGTCTCACTAGGTGTTATCAGTTAAACATAAAAACATAACGTAAAAATAAGTCATAAACTTACCGATACCAGCAAAAAACTATCCGACAGCCATTTTTTTCCACCGCTTCTGCGACGAATTCTCCATCGCCACACCGGTAGACCCACCGCTTCTGCGAAAGCTATGGCCAGTGTGTACATGTATATACCGTAATATAGATCTATATAGACTTTGATAGGAAAGATATTTTCGTCTTCATGTTTGAAACTGCCATTTAATATACTTATTACTATATATATAGCTCTAGTAATAGAATTGCCTTCAATTGGTTTCAAGTGATTTTCAGTTTCACGTGACCGAAGCCGAAAACTCATAATCATAAAAAAAAGGGATTTAACTCAATACAGGATTGGAGCAGTACCTCTAGACGCTTGCAGAAATCATGATCACAAAATAGACAAATATCGTTTTTTTCGCCGATTTTTACATTTTTCCTGTATTATCTTACTTAACTCGGTGTGAAAAGATGAATTAGACCTGTTAAAGTTCATTCCGTTGGGTAAAAAGACAGGATTTTAGCATTTTATCATTCAGTATAAATTCGGTATTTAGTGTGCTGCTCCAATCCTGTTTTTAGTCTCACTCATAAAAAAGTGTACAAACTGAAACAATGACGTCACATTTTACGTCATCAAAATAGAGAAAAACAGAATCCCTAAAGAAAGTCCAACACAACAAAATTGAAAATATTGCAGGCTCGGTTTGATTGAGTCTGTTCATTGATGATACTTGAAAGTGTATTAAAGACACGTCATAGACGGGCTAGAAAGTGGAAATATGTCCTGAAATGAATAATGCCATAGGGATGAAGCCCTCTGAACAAATTTTCATTTTGTAGGCCGATCATCATTTCCGGTATTAATCTCTTAATCATGTGCATTGGTATTCGGAATATAACATTTATTTAAGTTATATAAGTCATGCTGTTGGAGTTAGAAATGGTCACTTTAGGGCCAATTAATTTGCATATATCAATGATGGACCGATCATTAACAAATGAACATTTCTAGCAGCCGATGTCAGGTGAGCGATTTAGGCATTCGGAACTGCCTCGGCTACCTCGGAAACAATACGGATTGAAAGTAGTTCAACCGCGTGATTTACAGATGTAAATAGAAACAGAGATAATGTAAAACGAATTTAAATATTGACATCTAATGTCTGTTCCGGTACTCTTATGCTTGAAAATATGTCTGACAACAATTTGTAATTTAAAAATGCCCACTGATGTTCAATTTTAAACAAATCCGACTAAATGTCAACACTTTGGCAACAGGTTGGATTTTTGTACTTTCGTATTAGTGAATACATAAATAATGTATTGTTTGCTTTTGTACCTATGAATTCAGTAATTTTAGGTGGACTTTTACTACATGAATTGGAAATAAACTTGTCAACAACTCTCAGCATTAAATTACTATTTGTTTACATGTTTAGTTTCTTAGCGTAGGTTAGACCGGAATACCGCATTCGTTCTTTGTATTCATACTATTGTGTTCGAGGTCCTTATCCGAAGACTGACGGAAAGGGCCGAGTAGTTGCGATTGCGATTTAGGACACCAAACATTTGTAATCAATGATCCAGAAGGACCACAAAAATAAAAAGACGTGGGGGAGGGGATTACAGGATTTCCCACTCGTGCACAGATAAAATATAGATTTTTTCTAAATCTGTCAAAAATATTTAAAAAACTGTCCCACTCTTTTTTTTTTTTATAAATTTACGTTTCAGGTTAATTTTATACCGTTACAGGTTAATTTTTATACCGATGTATATCACGGTGCATATATCCATATCGGTACCCTCTATGCGAAATCTGCTCAAACGGTACCCTCTTTGCACATGCACAGGTCATTCTCTGCTAAAAACAAACCAGCGATGGATAACAATCCAGTAAAATTTCAATGTTATAAGGAAAGGAGGTATGACACGTGGAAAAGATGTATACCACGGAACACTAGAATGTTTTATTTATGTGCTGATTTGTCATGTGCCTGTTTTTCATGTACTGCAACTTCACAATAAGCTACAAAAAATCGACATGTCTTGCCTCGCCCATCACCTCGACATATTTTTCGGGCTGAAATGAACATGTGGCTTGATTATATATGCATCATACATAATTAGTATGTTCATTTACATATCATCTTCGGACAAATGGCAGTATATTGTCAAAAATAATTGTAAAATTTATAAAAACACCCTACTTTCGGTTTTGCAGCGGCACGGGCTACCTCTCTTCATTTGAATTTTTATATCACAGGTAATTCTCATTTTTTAACTCATAGGTACCGTCAAGGCACAACATATGCTTTTATTTGCGTTAATCGTTAGGTATGTAATATTTCTTACTTTTATGTTAACACATGCCATTTAGTGTATGTATACATGTATACATCTTACCAGATATTGAGTACCAATTGTCCATCTCATCAAAAATGTTTTCCGAAAATAAATGTTTCAATATCAAGCAAATGAAAACTCGCATCAGCCATATGCTGTACTGAAATGCAAGGGTACAACCGGTACACGGGTCTTCGCGCCCAAAGTGACGTAAATTATGCATATTTATAAGGTCAAATTCAAATGCACCATTCAGGATTTGTAGTGACGTGATCAAGTGAATATTAATGAGGCCAAATAAAGTTTGACACTAAATATGTTAGTATTCATCCGTAGCTGTTCTACAGAAATTAGAAACATTCTCCGGTCGCTACCGCTCCCATCGAAGTTTCTAATTCCTGTAGAACAGCACGGATGAACACTAACATATACTTGTATTTCAACTTTTCAGAAATATATGCGCATACTCCTTTAAACGATTTCAGTCATGTCTTACAAATTACGTGACTTTTTTTGAATATACGGCAAACCTGATTCAACTTTGAGCTCGTTCGTATGGCTCCTCCCTGATTCTGTCCATCATTTCTTAGCTCAGCCCTGTGGGTGTCAAGAATACTGTTATATGGGCTTCTGTTCGTCATCTCATGTAAACTTATATCAGTGTTTCAGCCAATTAAATACTTGGTTTGCCAAACCCATCACATCTAGGACATCGGCTTGTTTTTCTTTTCATGCAGCGGATTGCAAGTGGTTCAAGGCCATAGCAAAGCCTTAAGGAAGTCTTGTTCTGGTTACAAACAATCTGTTTACAATCATTCTGGAACAGAAAGGAGGAAAATGATGTCACCTGAAGGATAATTAATGTTATTTAACATTTTAAAGGGAGATTGTGTGACTTAAACATTTTTTTTTTAAAAATCCTAGTCTGGGGGAAATCCCCAAATTGGGGTAAAGGGGTTTAATGGGGGGAAAAAAGGTTGGTTTGAAAAAAAGTAAAAATTTTCTTTGTTAAAAGTCACCCCGTTTTTCTTTAAACCCTAAATAATTTTAATTTAAATTAAAGTTTTATAAAAAATAAAAAAAATTTTAACAAAACCCCCTTTAAAATTAAGAAAATTTTGGCCCATGAGTGTCCCTTCTTTTACTGTTTCCCCTTTTAAAAAATGGAATTTAAAGTTTAAACTTTAAGAATGTTTTTCAAACTGTGAAAAAAATCAAAATTGTACAAAAAATCGATGTATTTATGTGAAAAAAAGGGGTGAAAGGGGAAATAACAGTGAAAAACTTAAACAGAATTTGATTTTTTCCCAAAACTTTTGGTTTTAAGGATGTCAAATAAAAGTACGTATCTACAAAAAATTTTTAGAAACTGTTGGGAAAAATTTTATATTTAAAAAAAAACTTTTCCCCCTTTTTCCGGGAAAAGCATGAAAAGTAAATGATGTTTTTTTTTCTATAATTAAAAAGGATTTTGAAAACGACGAGGGTTCCTACAAAAAAAGAAAATAGAGAAAAATTTTCCCAAGTTTCAGGGCAAGAAAGAAATTTTGACATGTTAACAATTTTCCTCTTTGTGCAAAAAAAAAAAATTTAAAAAAATTTATATTACTAGGGGGAAAATTGTTTTCAATTTTTTTTAAACGGTAGAAATATACATATTTAAAAAAGTAATCGCAAAAAAAATTTTCTACTATGTAAACCTTATTGAAAGTAAGACGTCTGTACATGAAAAGTGTGCGCTTCTATATGAACATGATGTATGTATTAGACGTCAAAAATAACCTATGCACAATTAGCTTTCAGTTGTTTATGAATTTCCTTGTAAAAAGTTTAGTATTTTGTTACAGATTTAAGTGAAAAATGGTGCTCAATATATTAAATGGTTTGGTTAAATTTTAAAATAGATGTTACCTGATTTGGTTGTTTGGTATCATGTCTGCTAAATGATCTAAATGACAACAATTTAGTGCACCACTTAATGTAAATGCAACAATATTGATGAACTTACCTGAATAAAAATATTCCAGACTAAGTTATTTTCTTCTCTCCACAATTCTGAAGAACCCTTTTACACGAATACAAGCTCGACGTTCAAATTTCTAATACCTCTATCCAATGTCAGCGTCCATCTTGTCTACCTATAGTCTAAAAATAGTCAACTACAGCAATGACATGAAGAAAGGAAAACTGTCAATTTCATGATAGATAAATCATGACGATAAATATTTGTAAATTTACAAGATTTGTTTCTCTTGGATAAATATGACATCCGAATAATAAATAATTTTACGGGGAATTTCTGTTACTTTTCTTGATATAGCCAGATATTTTGCATATTAAAGTAATATTTTCGTGCATTTATGGTGTCTGATTTAGCATATAATCAGAGACATAGATAATATATGTCTCTGATATAAAGTACAAATGAAATATTAACAATGAAAAAAAAAAGAAGGCAAAAGATTTGAGCGCCCATCGCGGGTAAATTGAAATGTTACAGGGGATGTTTCACTATTTCATTATTCCTCATGTGCAGACTCAATCAAACCGAGTCTGCAATTTACGTGTAGTTTTGCTGATTTTAATGTTCCGGTAGATCACTTTAGCCAATATGATTTGTTATAATGCATCTAAGCATAATTTTTGGAGGTCATATCCGCATTTTCTCATTGCGCAGTATAAACTGGTTTTACATCTGCGGATGGTCTGAATTCAAATCTTTCGCCATGATCAAGTCTTAAAATGTAAAAATTCTGCTTAAGGCCGGTACTAGGAAGGTTTGGCGGTAGTTTGCAACCACCACTACCGTCCATAAACAGGCTGAATCAAACCGAGCCTGCAGCAATTTCAACTTTGCCATTTTGGGCATTCCTTTGGGATTCTGTTTTCGCTATTTTGCAATAATTTTAACGTTAAATAAGCAAAGACATAAATAGTACATTCATTTTTAAAGAAATATTTGTCACCTTTACCATTTATAAGTAATGTTTACTTGTAGTTTTTGTATTGTAGCCGCTGCCAACACCAGTGGTTCAAGCATCTTCATTCCATTATTTTTCTTCTCATGAGAAGGAAGAACTATGTTTGTTAAATTTCACTTACACGTGACATATTACATTTCACCTAGAAATCCAAAGCATTTAGAATGTATAAAAAGCGCACCATTTTGTTTTATGGACAGCGTCATTTTGATATCAGGAATGTTTACTTTTAGGAATAGTTTAGAGGTAAACACAGTTACTTGCAGCAGACGATAGAAAACAGTATAATTGTGATCATTCAAAAAAAGAGGTAAAGTTTAGAAAAAAGAGACAAATATGATGTTACCCATCCCACATTGTATCTTAACTATCATAAAATGCCATTTTGTGTGTGTTAATTTATTTCATGGTTTTCAGTAAAAACCATATTGTGCTCCCCTACCCCGTCAAATCGGACGAGTCTATTTGTTATTCGCATATGGTCTATTTCAATGTTAAATTGTCCGGTTAGTTATAGCCCGTTTCAAGTCAAAGGAAACTACATCTGTACTGCTTATTTTTTCAAATTTCTATACATGGACTCCTGTTTAAAATTACATAAATAAACTAAGTGTTGCCGTAGAGGGAATTAAGTAAGCTAACTTGTGAGATAATCAACTTCGTGATTTAAAAAAAAAACGAAATATTTGTCTCTTAAACCTAGCTAAACACTGTCTTTCGGTACTTTCTATACATTCCACACGTTAGTTGTGTAATTCACAAAAGCTAAACCCCTAACATACTGGAAAACAGTATTTGACTAGGTTTAAGAAAAGGTTAATTAAGGAGTCTTATAACTTCACCCTGTAAGCATTGTTTAGTGACTGGGTTTCATAACGTTAGATCCCCTGTCAATGTTCCATTTTATTCAGTTTCGTCCATTGTTTTCTCGTTTAGGGCACACACATTTTTTTTACTTGGGCACAATATGCCGCTTTTCATGGAATGAAACAAACATGTCACATTGATGGTTTCATGATAACCGTCGTAAAACACATATGCGGCTGTTTTAAAATTCAAAATTTTACCAGTTTATGTTAAAAGGTTGAATTATTCTTTAGACAGTGCTAGGGAGAGTGGACAGTAGCTTGCACTCACCACTACCGTTCATGAACAAGCCCATTCAAACCGTGCCTGCACTATTTTCATATTTCCCGCGTTTCGCTCTCTTTAGGTTTTTTTTCTCTATTTTGTTTAATTTATGATACATTTTACGTATTATATATAAAGCTATTAAAAACCTATAAAAACAGTCGTCTAAGCTTTTATTAAAAAAGATAAAACTCGAATAACAATGGAAGCAGTTATACTTATGGTGACTGGTAAGATGATTTCTTAAAAGATTAACTTTAACTGTGACATTGAATAATAAAGGTACTTAGTTTTGATCAATTTTTATTATTCATATGGACGGAATTTAGCGTTGGTTAAAATTGAGAACTATCCTTCATAAATTTCAAAATCTATCCTTTTCGCTCAATACATATTATTATCACGATGTGTAATTTAAATGATCACCGTGTGTCTATAAAGTTAGGTAAAAGAAATACTGAACTTATAAGTGAACAAAGTTAGGCAAAAAAGGGAACATCTCACAGTTGTTTATAACTCATCGCATTTCTTACATTTTAAGACATTATTTTGGACAGGATTAGGAATAGTTTTATCAGAAGTATTATATAAGTACATATTTAGAAGTTTCTGACATTGATAAGTCCTAAAACAGATAAATAGGGTATCAAAGTTTTGCAGGGTGTATCTTGTGGATTGTTTGAAATGCTCCCTCATCTCAATGATCTCGTTTTATGAAAATGAAGTTAGGCAATTCATTTTTATTTTTCCTTCCTGGTTTAAAAATAAGTATCTTCCGCATTCAGCTGGATAAAGAGCGGGTCAAATGCACACCTGAAGTACCCGAAAATAATGATAAAACATTTTTCAAGTAGACAGGTGATTTGCAAGGTTAGATAATGAGATTTAAAGTTCATGCGAAATCTTTAATTTTGTTTAAAAATATTTATTGACCAGGAAGATATGGTATACTAGGTTATCTTAACTACTTCAAATAAATGTCCTGATATATAAAAACCTACTTTAAAACGACACGTGGAGGACATAGATATCTACATCCTCATTTAAGTCTAAGTGCTTTCGCATTATGTTTTAAGTTTAAAGGAAGCGAAAATGTCCTCTTTCTAAAGTGGAAACTAACCAGGGATAGTTTTATCAGGAAAAGTATCAAAAATATAAGTAGTCATTTTAATGCAAATTTTCCGTATGGTATTGTTAAATGCTTGAAATTTGCACGTTTATACCAGGAGAACGTGTTAAAGTGGAGAGATACAAATGTATCTAGATCTAAGCCTGCCTTCATCATCAAGTGAATCATCCACTTCAATCTATAGCCTCTACTTATAAACAATATATTAAATCAGCAAGTATAAGTATTTCAGATCAAAAATCATAGTTCAAATTAATTGAACAGTTTCAGCTTAATGACCGAAACACCATTTGTCTCTTCCGAGAACGATTACTCATCAGCCGAGATAGGGGATTTCCCTTATTTTCCCGCCCTATATCAGTCAAGGCTAAAACCTGCGATATCGATATTTTCTATGCTTGTGAATATTTATTTCACGTACTCTATGTAATTTATTTTTCATGAGGCGTAAACATATTATTGGAGTTTTCAAAGCATATTTTATTGCACAAAGAGCCTATTCAAACCCTTTGTTCGTAATTGACAAACGGAATTTTAATCAGGTAAACCCCGGATAAAGTTAGAGCTGTTTCATTGGATAGGGTAGAAGAAGGAAGTTTTGTGATTATAAGAAAAACAAAGTATTTTTGTAGTACAGGTTATCGTGTTTCACAGAATGAATAGGTAATATATTAATGTCATGCGAATTTTTCATCCTTGTTGAGTTTTTATATTACGCACTTGATCAAAAACGAGTGCTTTATATAAATACCCCTTAGCTGTCTGGAATGATAGTGTCATTTTTAAAGAATAAATGTCTACAAGGGCATAAATTTAGTTTAAATGGACCTATATAACGCAGGTGATATAAATCCATAAATACTGTATTGGCCCATATTATACCTCTACGCCGTGGCATTTTTATTAAATCAAGCACCGTGTTGGTGATAACAAATAATCTTCAGTCATACTCAATGTGTCGATCCCTGCATGAAATTTCATACTTTAGTTTGAAAGATTTGTTACACTTAGATACTGTGTCAATCGTGTTGCATGGCAGCCCGCGCGCGCGTTTGTACCGCTGTTGCACTGTTTATGTCAACAAACGTTACCTGGCATTCATGAATCAATGAAATTCAATCAACATTGAAATGAATACGTGGTTAAGATTTTTTTTTAATCATTGCCTAATATTTTACATTCGAATACCATGTCAAGTCGTTTCACTTTATTTTTTTTTTCATTTTAATTACGATTAGTTCCAAACATGTTTATTGATAAGTAGTCAATAGGCGTTTTGTGTATAATGAAAAATATCAATATAATGCAGAGCAAAATTATTGTGCTTGATTTGCAATAGATAATGAAAAGTAAAGAATATATTTAACAAGTGTCAATGTCTTTAATTCTTCTTTATGACGTTAATCTTATGTATGTACCAGACAGAGCAATGTTAGTCTCGCCTGCAGATATATGTAGATTGTAGTCTCGCCTTGTGGCTCGTAGTCTCGCCTACAGTTGCATGTATGTATATCATGATCTCATCATGCGATAGGCATTAAGGAAGTATGGTAAGTCTCAGTGGGGGAAAAGGATTGTTTGAAAAAAACCACTGAAAGCTGCAATATCATTTGCTGACGTATTATGTAATCAGATCAGTATGCAACAAGATAAAAAGATAACACGTGACATTGTCTTGTTGTTATCTAGCAAGTGCGTTCTAATTTGCTGTCAACATAAATTTAAAAAGGGGAACAAAGAGGAGAAATAAACAGAAAAAAATGAATTGATAATACCAACATGTACAGATGCTATATCCATTGTATCAAACTTTTCTTAACAGATTTTCTGTATCAGTTACTATACATGTACTTATTTAGGTATTTCTTCCAACCGTGTTCCTGATGCTAGGGCTTGCCCATTCAGTTACGGGAATACGTACACTTGTAACCTCTCGTCATCAATGGCTGAACTGCACCATCAGAAACAAACATGCACGTTTATTTTTCTTGTGCCATTAAAGGCCTAGTGGTTTTTTTTAATGTACCAATAGATGGATGAAAACTTGACACACTATAGAAAGGAGAAAAGGAAATCTAAAAGAACTCCCAAAACGGCAAAATTGAAAATGTTCTGGGCTGGGTTTTATTGAACCTGTTCGTGGACGGTACAGGTCTAAGTCTTTATTTTAATAATGTTATTGTTAATTTTTCTTAAATTTTAAAGATCTCATTTGTTAGTATATTTGGGGAGTGCATAACATCTGTGTCATTAATAGATATACGAATTTAACGACGCAGTAAACCACCATAAATAACAATCACGTCCGCCTATCTCAAGTGTTCTTTTAATAGCCACAGATTGTCATCTGACCGACCTCCTCAGTTGTTGTATTGTTTAAGTTTGTTTATCTTTACTAGAACAATTGCATTCAAGCACTTCTTTGAGTATATGTTTCAAGATCTTCATGATTTTAACAATCGTGACATCACTGTTCAAAATATCAACTTTACCTGTTTCATTCTAGTTATATCCGGGAATTGGTTCAAGGACGTATGCGAACACCAAATAAGGAAAATAATATGATATACTTGTCAGGCGAGACAGCATTTTATTATTTCATCGCATTTGCCAGCTTTCTTCGTGTACTCTCTGCATAGACTGACCAAAAGGACTACTCATATTTTAACGCTAGTCTTCTCATTACAGTAAAGCTGATTGACCTACAGTGGGCAAATTATCCATTTGTATTTTGATAAATAGAAATCTATCATTAAGATATTCTTATTTACTCTTGCTTAAAAGAAATGTTGATGAAGTTCTAAGTGATTTAGTATGAGGATTTATATACTGAAGAATAATATTTTTTTCTAGACAATTGTGTACATGTATCTGCTGTACAATTATAGGTATTATAGTCATTTGTCCAGGTCTATATATATTGATGTATCTCACACTTGCCAGCAACATCCATACATAATTCTTATCCGATACTGAATAATAACAATCTAATCATTCATTGTATTATACACCTTCCATTATTATAAACCTATTCACTTTAACTACATGTTTAATCCCAAGAAATAAAGATTGAAGTGACTGGTTAAAGAAGGGACCTGTTATATATGAAATACATGTATATACACTGCATGATGTGAGAATACTGTGAACACAGGAGATTGTATAGCTTGCAACTACGAAAAACGTCCCATACCCTTTTCAATTATGTCGTGATGAAGGAAACCCTTGCAGTATTTTTTGTCCCAGATGCTAGCTAACATGCCAATGAGTTTGTACACTTTCAAAAGTACCATATTTTACGTTCATCAACACTAATGGTCCCAGCGTTATTATATTTAAGTGTAGGTCTTTAAGATTTTTTTGGTTCAGATTAAGTCCAATCAACACCGTAAAGGTCATATGATGACTTTCCAGCTTTACTGGTGTTGGAAGACCTCATGCAATAGCCACTATATACAGAAAACTCAGGAAATTGTAGCCAGTAGCTAGTACTGTCCTGAATTTCGGATGAAGACTGCCAAAATGAGTACAGGTGTGATAGGGAAGTTAAAAAAATGTTTATTATCTAAAACGATATTGGTCTATTTGTGTTATGTAAATACCAACCACTATGATTACTGTTCCAATATTTTGTACAATCTTTAGAATAAAGGGGGACTATTTAATTTGGCTAAACTATTACCAATGAATACCTTAAGAAAAATATATCATTTTCAGTAGAGATTGTGTAATGAATGACAACTAACGACATAATTTAGAGATATTTTTATTCACCACACACTCATTCAAAGCAAGTATTAGTGCAATACAGGTATACCAAAAAGTCAAATAAACACTAACTATAAATTATATAAAAGGTAAAGGTGTCCACCACAAGCTTGCATACTAGTACCTTTAAAGATCTGTTTGCTTGCCTGTAATTTGAAGGCATGTACTAGGAATTATAAGTTATATATCTACCAAATCATAGCAAGATCTTCTCCCTTATGTGTACATTGGAACCTGTGTCAGTTACCCCCAGAAAGAAAACACAACAACCCCCGCCCCTACATTCTGATAAGGGGGCTTTCCCCCTTAAAATATTATAATTTCCTATTTTTCAGAGTCATTTTGATAAAAGTCACCAAAGTTTGTGATGGACAACCTCAGTCAAATATTATCATTAAACTTTCAAATAAGATTCTTAACTGTAAATACAATATACTTTGTAAAATTTTATACCACATTCAATATACATATAAGCTTTGTAAATAATTAAGGCACATAGCAGATTTTACTAATCATTATGCACAGGGCAGACAAAGAGTTGATAACTGATGTATTCGTTATTATTATGCAGGACTTTTTTTTTTTTCAATCTGTGATAATATCAAGACCTTCCCAATCTGTCACCTATGTATTGTGAAACTTGAAATAAAAGAATAACTTGTAAGGAAAATTGTTGATAAGCTCAATTTAGCATCCTGTCATTGACAAATGCCCCCCACCCCTGAACTACTACCTGCATTATCAATGAATTTCTGAGTTAAATTTTGAAGTAATGTTAATATGCAAGTCTTATCGATAGTAACCATCAGTCAATTTGATATCTTAAAATGTACGTAATTAATGTAATAAAATTTAAATAATCATCAAAGATAACATGGTTCAATTGAATTAATAATCTTTGATGGAACCTTCCAAACTCCACCCCTGCCCCCAACCACTCACTACCCCTACCTCTTAATATCCTACCATTAACTTCAGTAATGCTAATTTTCAGGTCTCTTTGAAATACAATTTCCCTTGATTATTTTCTTTATTTTGTAGTTTCATGATTATACATTCCTAAATTATCAATATTGTCAAAACACATTAGTATATATACATATTATAGTCAGCTATGTGCCTGTTTTCACTCTTTAAGAAGGCAAGTATTTGGTTATAGAAAAAGAAAATATAAAAAAAACAACAGCTTCATACTTATAAAATACTAAACAATAAAAGTAAAAGTCATAACAAACTATTATAAGATAAGAAAATATAAGTATAAAAATCTTTATAAATTATGGCACAACAGATTTTATTTCAGTAGGCCTATACATGAAATTGTAACAACCAACATTTTATCCTACATTAACTTTCACAATTGCCTAGAATGATGTAGAGTTTGCGCAAAGGCTCGTACCTGGAGGAATCCGTCACCCTCGGGTTGGGATTTTCCATAATCCTAAATCGAACCCAGTGATAAATTTTATTTATGCAATATCACCAAAATTATAAGTATATAGGTGTGTCTGGCCGATTTTTTTTAATGAAATAAAAAAATTTTCTCACTCATCTACCCAACCCAAATATCCAAGGTTGAAAGTGACAAAATATTTTTTAAAGTCGGCCATAACAATTTAAGTTATCATGCTATATCAGAGAAAAAAATATTACAAAATATAAAAGTTAAATATGAATGGGAATAATAAAGCACTTGTGACATGTATAAAATAAGCATAAAGTTCATATTTATAGTATAAAAACATCAAATGCAGCAACATGTAATATATACATACACAAATAGTTACTATAACTAGGTTTATAATATAAAATTTCTCATTTTCTCTGTATAAATAATAAATCTTGTATATCATATGGTAACTATTGCATACTAATAACCTAACAACATTTCATACTGTATATACTATATGGTATATATAAAGTTTAACAATGTATGATGCCTGCTTGGAATTCTATATATATATAGAACATTGTCAGAATCACGCCATATGTTGGTTTTCCAATTATTCACAAGGAAAGTTTATTTTTAGCCACTTGTGTCATCTCTAATCAATAATGTCTGGATTTTAAAGTACATCATGTATTGACAAAACACTTGATTTTATAGCCATTGGTTACCAGTTATTTTACCTGCCCAGGTGTGGTTCTCCAATTACCAATTGTAATATATCTATGTAAAAAAACTCTTAGTTTCAGGTAAAATCTCATAATATCACTTTCCACATTTCATCAATGTTGTACTACAGATGTAACAGGTAGTTTAATCAGGTTAATGCTGACATCTCGAGAAATAAAATGCAAAATATATACAAACTACTGTACAACATTAAATATATACAAAATCTATCAACAGCCTTACCCTTTAACAAAGAAACTATTGTAATCTGAATTGAACAAAACAAAGCCCCATTTAATATAATACTTCATATTTTATACCATAACATTTTCAATAGGCTTATCTGTAATTGATTTTAAATAAATGAAGGCTATCAATATTTAAGGTAACAATTTTAAACAGGACTGTATATTTGCCTTTTATCTAAAGTAACTATATACTGATAACTGAGATGGTAAGAATAAAACTGACGTTAAAACCAACATATAATTTATTCACAAATGATCATTTACGTTGAAACTAGTCTAACTGTATACCTTATACTGAAGAACTTAGGATAGTTTCCCTTGGACAAAAAGTTGTAATAAAATCTTGCGATTACTTTTAGGAGAACAGATCATTTACGATATAATTAGCTACCCAATACATTTGTACTTCCTGATTTAAATACAGCCTGTATCATGTAGAAATACCACACCACTATAAAACGTATTAAAGTAGTCAAGACTGACTAAAGTGTACACAAAAGTTAATTGTTAACATGTTAATACTAACAACCATATATACAAATAGCTGCATTTATGTCCTTGAGCATAAAAAGAATAACAAGTAAACATAATACACGTAGGCCGGAAATTTGATACTGTCTCAAGATAATAGAGGTATAAAATATGACAATACATTATAGTAAAATAATGTGTAACCCTAGTCTAAAATAGTGCAAAATTCATACAAAAACAGTCAGTCATTAAATAAGATATATCAAATATGTTAAATAGCATTCATTCTTCAACAGATCTGTGCTTTAAGATAGGTTTACCATAACTACAATTCAATCAATACTGTTAACAGATAAAATAAGTATGACTTGACATAACTCTATACACTTGTGCAAGTTTTATTGATATATATGAATTTTTCAAATACGAATTTCATCATTTTGTTGATTTCCATTTCTGATAAGTTAAATCTAGTAGAATAAGTTTTACATTATTATTAACATCTAGCTTATAATCCATATCAAATTATGATAATACAAAAGTTTATATTAAAATAGCAACTATCTGTCAACCTTACAGAATAAGCCTAGTTTGTAAAAACTCCAGTTAGAAGCTAGTACATACACCGTTGGTCACTTAGGCTTAATTATAATTATGATTTTAGAACTTATGAGTTTCTGTAAAAATTAAATGGACTCGACTGAGATTTTTTTTTAAACATGACGAGACTGGAATCAATTTTTCTAGATAATGTTTAATTTGATGAAGGTCTAGACAAATACATCATTATCTCATTCCGATATTCCAGAATAATTGTAATTGTGAAAAAATGACCCAAAACTGAAAAGCGTTGCGTTAATTTGGGCTAAGAATAGCACAAAAATATTATTTTCAATATATTCCAAATTTTGTTTTGTTTGTTTGTTTGTTTCATTTTACGCCTTCCCCCAACAGTATTTCAGTCATATAGGCAGGTAGTTTCCTAACCATCGTTCCTGGAGAGTTACACCAGTACTAGACTACCTTCCTCTGCGCTAAACTACCGAAGCACCTCCCAGGGATCGAACCCATGCCAGAGAGGTTACTGGATTAGAAGTCATTGACTCTAACCCCTCAACCACGGAGGCGGTTTCCAAATTATGTATTACAATAATGTTTTGCATATCTTTCTTTTTTAAGCGCCCCAGCTGTTCTATGTAAGAAATTAAAATTTTAAGTTTTTTATGCTTTTTGATCTCAGCGGAGTTCCTTTAAAAGAAAAACAAGTCTATCAGGTAAAATCAAATATAAATTAACAAAACGTCAGTCGTCCAATTCAGCTTCTTACATACATTGAAAATACATAAATAAAAGTCTTACTATTTCAGGAGTAATATATACATCTAAATAATTATAAATACACTATTCCGATACATTAAGTTTTTTTTCAAGTGAGAATTTCTTACAAGTTATAAGTACTTTTTTTAAAAAAACAATTTCAAAACTTCTGTCCTCTTTTTCCAGTTCACTTAAGGATAAAGGCACCTTAATCAATTTCAATATTTTCTAACTCAGAATATGTTTTTAGTACATTAAAAACAAATTAGTATTTGAGACATACTTTAAGACTATTTGAGAATGCCCACAATTCTATAGCAATCAGAAAATTCAATCTATCAAACGCCAAAATCTTAGAATAAAACAGAAATTGCTTTTACATTTTATCATAATTATACATCATTTATTATTTTACAAATAATTTCTGTAATAAATTTAACTATCTTCAGTGGACATGAATGTGGATTTTTGAACCTTTTCACCATGGAGGTATAACCTGGCTGATGTGTTATGTACAAAGAAATCACATTGGTCATGGCAGTGATTATTTGGTCCAAAGTAATAATTCAATAAGTCATAAAGTAGTTGACCAGATTATTTGACCTCTCTATGTGACATTGTCAACTGGAGATAGTAGCCTGGGTACACTGTGCACAGTGTCATAATTGTGATCATTTGTGACACAATATTTAAAAACCTTCCCCAAAATCAATGAGTTATGGAGCAAGCACTAAATGTTATATTGTCTGATTTCTGTTATAATGTTTTATTATCTGACCTTCAACTGTGACCTTGGGGCTAGCCACCTAGTTGTTGTGCACCATCATAATGGTGTTTATTTGTACCATGACATCTGAAACCTTCCATATAGTTAATAAGCTATGGAGTGGACATGAAATGTTAACCAGTTAATAAGTGACCTTGACTTTCAGGGTAGCAACTACATTCATAAACTTTGAAAATTGTGTTATAATTGTGATCATCTTTGTCAAGTTATTTTAAAAACTTTTCCACATAGAGGGGAAACATAATGTGGACTAATTTTTATTTTAAACCTTTATGTATGACCCTGACTTTGATAGATGGACCTGCTTATTGCCCTCTGCATCATAAAGGTTCAGCCACATTTACCTCTTAGCATCCCATCCCCTTTTCTCCACCATCCCAAAATATTTCCATGTTTTTCACTTACAAGGATTGCTCCCTAGATCTGTATCTGAGATTACGGTTTATTAAAGTGGGCAGATTTATGTCCAGCTGATAGATCTTAAAAATGTAATTGTTTTCATTAGAAAATACATCAAAATTAATATAAAAACTAGAACTTTTCCAAGATCATACATAAATATTATACATTATATTCATATTCAATACTAATGATATGTAAAATGCAGTTTCTTTTTTTTCAGATTTCAAAATATGGATGGATTATAAATATCACAGATATAATGTATAAAAAGAAGAGAAAAAAGACTTTTGATTGACAGAAATGAAATCTTAAAAAAATAAATTTATAGAAATACAATATCACCTTCCTTCACTTTAAGGTATCATACCTTAACAACATTTTTTAAGTAGGACATAAATTTCATTAACCAGGTTTTGCTAAGTTGTCATGAGAATAGCATTACTATTACGAAACCACAATTCACGAAACAATTTATGTGTTTTTGATGTGCAAGCTTTTTTTATAGTTCAATCTTTCATTTTATTCCTAAAAATTACACATTCTTAACTTCTTGTTTTACATTTCAAAATATTTACTGAATACTCCTTAAAATCTGGGAAGGAAACATGTTTATCCTTGTTCAATCCATTTGCTGCAACAACATAACTGCATAATCTAATTTTGTGATGTCCTACTTTTGCTGATCTAAATGTAATATCAATTACTCATCATCATCATCATTCACTGCCTTCTTCTTTTTCTTTTTCTTCTTTCTTGGCTCTTCATCCAAAGGCCCTAGATCACCTGCCCTTTTATCAGGAATTCCAACGGTTATCATTGGGTGATCATCATCATAGTTAGCCGACAATCCACGACCTTTCTTGTCTGTTAGAGGAATTGGTGGCATTGGTCTGAAAATTTAAATATTTTCATAAATTTTAATTCTGATTCTTTATCTTTAATTGTTTGCAATGGTTTTACTGCTGAAGTACCTAGGAACTGGCGTGCTACCCTAGCTTAAATATAACAGTAAGTGCAATGTAAGGTTTAGCTTATACAAAACTACAAGTATTTCAAGGTGCAATATCAACTTCTGACATAATGACCACATCAAGAGACTGTCAGCTGTAATTAGCCTAAGTTAAGATTCATTGCTAAGGATTGTCACTCTATAGTGTATAAATGTATATAAGCTATATGAGAAAATCGCTGGTATGCTCTCTTGTGCCAACATATGTTTAAGATTGGTTAGGTACACACCATTTAAGATACCCTGTTGAATTTCAATATACACATATAAACTAAAAACTAAACATTTTTACATGTCAGCAGTTTATAAATGCTTACTAAATATAAACAAAAGGGCCATGATGGCCCCGAGTCTCTCACCACAAACAACTGCTTTTCAGTAAAAGTTTAAAGAATACCTAAGAATGCTACAACAAAGTTTGGTGATCATCCATCAATTAGTTCCTTAGAAGCAGATTATTTCTATTTTTAGCTTTAGCGGCCCCTAAAAGGGGGCAATCAAATTAATATGAACAAACTTGATAAAAGACTACCTAAGAATGCCACAGACAAAGTTTGGTGATCATCCATCAATTATTTTAGTAGGAGATGATGTTCATCCATCAATTATTTTAGTAGGAGATGATGTTCAAAGGTTTCTTTAGCAATTATAATTGCAGTTTTTAATATTATAAGAAACTGAGATAAGTGCTATAATGAATAAATACAGCAAACCTACAATATCATTTTTCAATGTAAAAAGATTAAAATGGAGGTTAAATTTCCCTATATATCCCTTTTAATATTCAAATTACCTTCCAGAGAAATTGTCTCTGTTTTCTTGAACATGAACATCCTTTCTTGACACTTCACCGTCACTGTTTGCTCTAAAACAACAACACCAAGAAAATCCTACAACCAATTACCATAGTAACACAGTGCAATATCTTATATTAACATGCATAAAGTTCCCTTTGCGTTTGCTAGTAAATGTAATTTACATCAATTCAGTATAACTTCAACATCTGAATTAAAGACCTTCAAAAATGTAGAACTTTTGAAATCCAAACCATTTTCTTGGTCCTGAAATTTCTCCTTCTGTTTTCTATGTAATTAAAACTTCTGAATTCTGAAACTTCTAAATTCCAAATGACTTTCAGATAAAATTTAGATAATATCATCCAGAAAGTGAAAAGGACAGAAACAACAATTATACTTGAGACTGCAAAATGTTAGTATCTCCCAATTAGCAGGGACCATTTATCTTGGCACCTATTATTAGAATCAGAACCTCAAATTAATCTTCTGAAATCTGGAAACTCACAAAATGTAAACTTTGTTCTCTATAGTGTTTTGATATCTGAAGTTTCTCAGTAATGCTGAACAAAACAATATGCTCAAGTTATTTGTTTGTGGTAAATTTTAGAATCATTAGTAAATACTATTTTGATTAATTAACCCATAACCAGGTATAGACACGCCTTTCTACACTTTTTACAGCCCCCCCCCCCCTTGTAGTCTCAAATGGTAAAAAAAAATGCCTTATTGAGGCCCCCAACACTTGTTTTTGTTCGAGAAATGTTGTTAAAAAAAGTGACCCCTTTTTCGGCAACGCCCCCTCATGGAAAAAGATACATTAGGGGAGTGCAAGAGGGGGGATTTGACCCTTTCTGTTTGGGGGTTTGAAAGGGGGGCTGCAGCCTCCTTCATCGCCAAGAAAGTTTGGACTTGTGATAGGCTAAAAATGACCCCAGGTTGATCATAATGTAATGCGTAACCAAGGCTGAAAAGCCTTTGACTATATCTCAATCCATTGAGAAGTTGCAGCAATTTTGATGGAAAAAATTAAGGAAAAATAGTGATTTTTGGCAATTTTGAGATGTCCCCTCCTTGCCATGGTAACATGAAATTTAAGACTGAGCATGTTGTTGCAAAGGCAATGGTCCAGTCAACATTTGTGTCAAGTTAATTTATATTGAAGCAGTTTTTATAGTTTTATAGCAATTTGAACTTGCAACAGGGGACTTTTCAATAAAATAGCCATTTTTCGTAAAATGATCATGCGGTAATGGGTAAATGAATACAAAACAACAATTTTTCTAAAAAAATTATTTTTAACATGGAAAAACGCAATTTTGGGTATTTCTAGGTATTTTCAAATAATTCAAATACTCTGCCAATGTAATGTAGCTTCGCACTGTAGAGAGTGACTAGTTGTTGTTCTTCTTTAGATAACAGTAATATGTTAATAATGAAAGAGATGATAGTCTTTTGTGGTAACAACATGGTAATACCTAGTTCAGCAGTCTTTTCCCTGGAAACTCAAATCAAGTCAGACATATATTGCTTTGTTCAATGGTTTGTCTTTCATAGCTTATTTATCAATATATATCTACATCATAAATGTGTAATGAAGTTAAATATATTGTGAAAATTAATGGAAAATGAAAATACTACTGACACACTAGAAATATCTGTGGGAGGGTAATATGCAGGAATAAAATTTGGGTAATGCATTAAGACTTACAACTTTTCCAAAGGTCTCTTTTCCTTCGTTTTGGTCCTTTTTGAAATAAAAATAAATGGCACTATTCTAAACATTTATACTATAACAGGCAAATAAAATACTAAAGTATGCAACTCGCACCAATCAAAATCTAAAAATAATGTGCACGGTAAATTAATAATGCCTAATATAATAGTAATTCAGTATCATAAGAAATGTGTCCTTAGCATATAAAGAGAAAACAGCAAAGACAAGGTGCCTAAGTGGGCCGATATTGCTCACTTAAATAAATGGGAAAGTTGGTCAATATTCTTAATAATGTAATATTTTTGGATCTATTGACCATGATTTGTACAAATTTTGATAAACTAGACAAATGCAACATATCTTTGTTTTGAGAATTTAGAATTTTATCATTATACCTTTGTTAATTTTCATAATTCATTTTTGTCCTGGCCATTTCTCCTAAACTATATTGTTCACAAGGCGACACATCCGACTCGCGGAGTTCTAGTTTATCATTAAAAGGGGCAGCATCACTTTAAAACCTGGAGCAAATTGTTTCAATACTATTAGTAACTGCAAAGGCCAACTAGACAGAACTACATATCCAATATCTAGTCTTCAAGTTCATTTGAGTATTACATCAGATTTTAAAATGCTTTTTCCATAAATAAAAGTGACCCTTGTGTTGTACCATTTTTTACACTGCTGGAGGCCTAAATGATTAAAAATGTTATTTTTATATCTATTTCCAGCTCCAATGACCAAATTATCTATCACACCAAAACTATTTTATCTTTTTTTGTAGATGATCTCCAAAAGAGCATGCATTCCTGTGAAGTTTCATTAAATTAAACAAGAGATGTTGTTTAAAGAAAACACATGACAGAGAATCAGAGATCCCAAAGACCAACACTAGCACTCATTAGCTAATAACATTTTGTCTATTTGTTATATTAAACTAAGTGACCATAGGAGGAAAAGCAGTAGCAAACACTTTATGAGGCCAATATAAAACAGATATATAAATGTTCAAAAATGTTAATAACCTTTAACCAGAGCATGACTGTGCAAAACAAGCTTTTACAAAGAGTAAACATTAGAATTTCAGCATGCATTTCTGTTACTCGCTTAAAATTTTGTTGGCACTTTTCTCAAAATTAAGAGCACTATATTTTAAAACAGATATTAATTTTATAAAAAAGTTGATATTTTATCATCATCAGCACAATCATAGGAAGTTTCTAAAACACGAATAACATAGTAAATGACTCAAACAAAATTTTAAAGAGTAACATAATTTGTTAAGAAATGTTAATTGGTATATTATGTTATATTCATAGATTGGTCTCACCTGTCAGATAATGTTCCCCGATGTGTATCTTCACGTTCAGAATGTACAGTACTTGAATTGGGTCCATGCCCATGATGATCCCCATTGTTTCCAATATTTCCATCTGTATTATTAAAACATTCTATGAAACAAATATTCATAGAAAACTGTTTATTGTTCTAAGAAATGTTACAATATAAGCTTAACTATTTCAATGAAAATATTGTTTTATCACATCAGAATTCATATGATTTTCATGTTAATTTAAGGTTATTTAAGGTTATACAAATCAAATACACACATATATTTCTCACAGTGAATAACAAATGTATGTCCACCAAAATGTGAACTTGTTAACTGTACACGATTTACTCAAATTTATATTATCAAAATGATGATTTTATTTCAAATCAGTGCAGATTAATTTAGAATATCTTTTTATATATTTTATATAATAACTTTATTATATTAGGGTGCATATTTTATACAATAAGCTGCTCATGATCTGCTTATTAGAAGGGTAGATTTACAAATTACCAAGCATTATGTAATAAGCATTAAATTTGAAGGTTTCTTATTAAATAACTATAATCAGACTGTATCTGTTACGAACCAGCAGGAAAATGTATACTGATGAAAATTTCTGTCTTATACACCAGTACTTGCTTTCAGTTACTGTCTGAATTGCTTCCTAAACTATTGTACGCAATGGTGAACTTGATTAACATCATTAAGTCCAACTTATATTTTATTTTAACAGATATTACTTTATGCAATATCTTTCAACATGTGTTTGTTTGGTATAAACAATAATTCTAACAAATTTTTCGTCATATCTTGGTGGTCTTCAATCTTTCCTGGTTAACTTACCAGTAATTACAAATTTCTACACAAATGACAGGTTACTAATTAATCGTGATTTCTAAATCAGCAGTGAGAGACAAATGATCATTAGACTCTTTATCAGAGATCAACTGTAATTTAGAGATCAAACCAGCAACCCATGAAAATCAAATGTTCTCCCAATAGTCTAAGCAGACAGACTGCTGTTTCTAAATCATATTGTGTAAAGCGCTTAACTATATACTAGATAGTTGTTAGATGTTCATATAAACATAATTATTCACAAACTTGCACAAGCACTTGCATGCTGAATACATAAAGTTCTGTTTAAAAATGTATATATAACATGTTAAAGAAATTCCTTGTATACAGATAGTTAATACACTGGCATCAACAACAAGAAAATCCATATAAAAACAGAACATGCATACTTGGATTGATAGAGCCTGTCCATACCCACTCTATCAAATAGTCTGTTAACATTTCATCCTTCAATTTTCTAGAATACATGTATACTCCCAGTATCAAATTCTTGTTCCCATATCAGTCTCTATCTTGAAAAACTTTTGAATATTTTTAAATGCGTCATTTTTTCTACAACCATTTCACATATAAATATTTCTTTAACATGACCATAAAAATAAGAACTATAGAGGCATGTTAAGAAAGCATTTACTGTGTATAGGGAAGCGGTAGCACTGAGATAGAAAAGCATGTCAACATGTTTGAACATGAAAATTCAACTATCCGGGATTTCTACCAGAGAGAAATCATGCATCTAGAAGCATCAAACCTTCAATTCACCCTCATTATTGCATCACGGAAAACCACAGTTAGATAACATTTGTTAACAAAAATCCATATAAACAAACAACAACCAGACAAATGAAGAAGAAACAAAAACTGAACAAAAAAGATCTTTAACAGCAGTAGAACAAGGCTTTCTGTTTAGAAATGCATAGTGAGCATATTTATCACATAAATTTTGAAAGAATGAAGCAAATAGCCTATTAGTAGACGTTATTACGAAAAAATAAACTTTTTTCTCATCAACATCTCATTTACTAATTGACCTACTTTTTGTAAACAATAAATATATAGAATCTAATAAATGTAGATTTGGAAAGAGTGGATGTTATAATGCATGGTTAAGTAAACATTATTAAAAACAGTTTATATGAAACAGAATGAAACATTTCAGCCTTCTAATTGGACAAGAAAAATAGGGCAAAGACTAAGTCTACAATAATATCTATATTTATATATCATCTCTCAAGTGATAAATATGCTTTTAATACATATAGTTTTGTTGTGATTAAGCATGCACAGATATAACAATACATATGCAACATGTATTTATTATGTATTTACTTACTTCTGCTGGTCCGAAGATCAAACATCCCAACCCGCGTCTCCGTAATAATAAGACATTTACCTAAACCTAGACTTCTTTATGAAAGAAAACTTTAACTGGGTATATAATATGCCAGACATCTACCCAATTTCACACAAAAATATGTTAAAAAACAAGTTTATTAGTGAAGACCAGCTCTGGAGGCTTATTTTATTTTTTTTTTTTACCAAGTATTGCAATACTAAGTACAGTACTATATGGATCTGGTTTTTTCATTGCTGAGTTTCTAACTAAATGTTCTTGTTCAGTTTCAATTTTGACCTGTCCATTTTAATTTTAAGGATATTGTAATGAAATTCTTAAGCCAGTAAAAGTCAATGTAAAAATCTGGTCACACTTTTGGTTCAAACCATAATTAATTTTGCTGCTGATGATGATGATAATAAATTGGCATTCAAACACCAAGATGAATTATAATCACAGTAGTTTAATTATAATATAATGACAACAGTTTTTTGAAGTATTACTTCTTGAAATTCTTTGTAATAAAGGAAAACATGATTGTATTGTATATTTTTTCCATTCAATTAAAGCATGCCTTTACTACAACTTGAAAACTCAAACAATGTTTCAATCATTTTCACTAATAGTTTCATGACGGAAGAAGAAAAACTGTTCTTAAGAAAAAACATAACGTCAAATTTCACTCTACAAGATTTATTCTAGAATACAATACATATATTAATAACCTAAAGCAAAAGAAGAAACCTTACAAAGAAAAACTGCCAAACGCGATTTCAAAATAGATATTTGAGTTTCAATAATTCTAATGTACCCCACCCCCTCCACACTTTGAAGAGCCCTAATCCTTTTCATACACTAAAACATCTATATTTTTTGCCAAAGTAGATTTTAAAACTGTTGTTTATATGAAATAAATATAATTGACTCATTTAAATAAAGAAAATTCAACATTTGGTTAATTTTAATAGCATTAATCTTTTGTACCTCTCACTGTATTTATTGAGAGAGTGTGCATAGGGGCGGGGTACATAATTTTTGTATAAACTGCAAAACATGTGAACAATAGATCCCACAAAAAAATTATATATAAACAACACCTCAAAGAAAATAAAGACTTCATAGACAAATATAATGCTTCAAGTTGAGTGTATCAAAAAGTTATTTCATATTTTCGATAAACATTTTTCTACTCTTAACTGAATAGCCATCAAATATGGCCTCAATTTAATCAAAGGCATAATCCTATATCCCAGTTCTAAATGTTCAACATATATGTACAGTCACTATCAATAAATGTTATCAGAAACAAAGGAAATTGGCAATTTAGGTTTTTCACAGCCCCCCCCCCCCCAAAAAAAAACAAAAACATTTATAGTTATATCTTCATGGTGTACTACCATTCACAATACAGAAATTTTTACACTTATTTTCGAAGTTGTTAACTGTAAAAGTATATTCTAACCCCCACCCTTCACCTCTCCAAATTAGCTTGAAAAACGAAACCAAAAATTATTTCATATTCTGGGGTAAGTCTATTGTAGCACAATCACATGATGATTGGTGATGTCTCTTAAAGGGTATCAATGAACATCTAGTCTGCAAATTTCAACCGAGTTCATTATCATATTGATCAACATATTAAACATGTCATCATGAGAGAAGAATCACCGGGGAAATCAATCTAAAATATGTACCACTGGTGAACATGAATAAATAATTTTATATAATCTCTTATATCAAGCAAGTATATATAATTATAATGAGTAAAATACTTTCCAATTAGCATTACTGAAGTTTCTGTTTAAAAATATCCTTGTTATTGTCAGAATTACTAAGAATTATTAGTAAACATATTCATCATCTTAAAATAATTTATAATTCTCTTGCAAGATATTGTTTAAGACTACTCATATTTTTTCAAAATTTTAATATGTTTCAGTAATATGCTCGACTTACAAAAATAAGATATGATAATAAATGTCATAACACTTTGATTGCTGCATCTAAGAATTTCAGTTTTTGTGTATTAAAAAATCACTAGACACTGTTCATATGTTGTTCAAGACTTAATGATCCTAGTAGTAAAAGAAATTATATGTATATGCCAAAATGGATGCCAAAAATAAGTCCTATTATTGTCACAATAAATTATTTAACACAAAAAAAAGAAAAAAAGAAAAAAGTTCTTTTTTTTCCATTTTATCCTGCCTGATAATTATTTTTGATATCAGTTTAGTAAGAAATAAAGCCCCTCCCATTTCAACAGACTTGTTTCAATAGCTTATAGATATTCTCATTTTTATCAGCCTTTGAATTCTACAATTTTATCTCAAGTCAAAATACAATATTAATTAATAATTTTTATTTCATTTCAATTATGAACAAATTAGATAGCTAATAGTTACGCACCAACTTTTATGAAATGAGGTCATAATTTATTTTGCAAAAATAATGACATCATGTTTCAGGGGCAGAGGGATTTCTTTTCAAGAATTATTTCTTTGAAGGGAAAAAAATGCCCCTTTTTCTACAAAATTCTCTATTTAAAGTTACATGCCTCCAGATGAGTCAAAATATTTCAATAAAATCAAACTTTAGAAAAATGTACTAAGATGTAAAGAAAAGTAAAAAGTTTCAAGATTCAAGTAATATTTTACATTATTATGTCTGATTAATGACTTATTTTTCAGTATTTACAACTATATTTCTACTGCGTTACTAACACAATAAAGGCTATTTTTGCATATTTTGACCACTTTTTGGTAATTTACGGGGGATTGTAAGTGCCATTGATAATGTGTAAATTGTTGTCATTTGGTTACTTCACAATATTACACATACAAATCCATTTTCAAAATTTTCATGAACATTAGCATGAATCTGGAGGCGTGCTGCTTTAAAAG